AGGACCAACTATATTTACTTTTTAAAATCTGTGTGTAAGTGAATCCAGAGTTGAAACCCATGTTGCTCAAGGGTCAACTGTACCTTATTTTTGTGATGCTCTTTAAAGTAAGTTAGAGTGTAGTTAGCATTTGTCCATTTGTTTAGCTGAAGATGTGATTTTGATTGCTGTTGTTTACTCTCAAAGGAAAGGCAGAGGAAAAAAAGAAGAGGAAAAAGTGAAAGAGGAGGAAGAGTTTTTGACAGCACCAAAATCGGCTGGCGAAGGAGGCCTTGATAAAGAATGGTACCCTCCCTGTGACCCTAATTTCTGTATGTACGTGTACGAGGTGACCAAGTCAATACTGCCCATAACCAATATTAAGGAACAGATTGAGGTTCTTGCAAAGTAAGTTGTCTACGTTTACATACACATTTTTAATTTCTGAAAAAAAAAATTGAGTAGTATACATATTTTAGCCAATTTTCAGACAAATATACCATAATAAAATCAAAATTTACAGCACCCTAGCTCTGACTCTGAAGCAGAAACACAGTGAATTGAAAAAGTTCTCGATTTCTGTTTTAGGCCAGAATCAGAGTTGGGAGCTGGAAATTGCTTAGAGGAAAATGCCTGTTATTTTCTTCTGCTAAATCATTGAAGGTATCTTTCAAGGTGATCCTGAAGAAGTTATGAATGAATCAGAAGTTTGAACATTAAATCATTCCTTAGGTGTATGGGGTGCTCATAATTTAAAGGAATCCTACTGTGAATCACTTATAAACTTGCAAATTATTTTCTAAAACAAACACCCAACCTGTATGTTTCGGCTGTATGTCTGATACTCGGTGTTCTCCGTTGCTCTAAGGCGGGGTGTGAGCATTCTGAGCTTGAGCGGGCTCAGGGTTCTGTATAAGCCGGAGAATTTGTCCTCTTCATTAGAGTGTTTAATCTAAATTCCACTAAGGGAAGGCTGGGAATCTAACTTGGTAGCTGCCAGGGATTAGGACTCACCAGAAGCAGAGGGCAGCCTTCATGACTGACACCACCCGGCAGGTAAGCTACTGGCTTCCGCGACAGCTGCAGTCTCCATGGGAGCTTGTATCTACTCCAAATAGCAGTGAGTTACAGTCATCAAACCTGGATGTGACAACTGCCAGTAACGCAGCTGCCAGATCATTGACTTCTTGTCAGCCAGAGCTAGAAGAGAACATTTTTGGCTCCTGAAGTTTTCCTGATGTCCTTGAGAAGTGATGGCTTAAGCAGAACACTGCTACAGCCCACGCTCTCATGCTTTGTTCCCGTCAGAAACACTC